GGAATCAAAAGAATCGCCTCTTTAATAACCTTTATTCGTATGAGTTTTACGACATTTACAGTGCCGAAGAATAAATGTGTTACAAGAGAGTAACATACACAAAAAAGGAGGAGGAGAGATAAGGACGACAGATGTTTGATATGAAAGAAGTAGCAAAACACACCAGAGCACCCACCAACCATCCACAATAACCTTTATGCTTAATAGGATGGGTAACTTATACAACTACGTCAATATATATATATACAACACTGAACACTGAAGTCTGACAGCTTCATACACTTATGTAGAATTGGATGTTTAACTAATACTTTTCCACCAAGCAGGACATCGACATAGTTTTACCCTTTGAACCCTAGATCTAAATCTTGAAATTTCTCAAATCTCTATTACGAGACATTTTTCCACAAATTTCATCAAAGTCCACAGTGTTTTGGGGGCACATACACAAAAAGACTGAGGGGAAGAACATGGAGAAATAAACACATGTGTTCACTCCCTTGTTTACCTTAGTTATTCCAAGGTGGAAATATTGTAAGACGACGAACAAGAATTTATAAAGAGAGTACTCTTTTGACAGACTACACAACTCAGGGTAGTCCGTGCCCCGAAGAACCGACCTTACGGAATACAGCAAAATATTGCCAAGGCCGGCCTAACGGGTCAAAGGGTTAAAAAAAAATAATTTCACCAAAGCTTGAGATGTACAGACACACACATTGATCACTGAAGCATGATTATGATTCCCCAACCAGAAAAATGAAGACTGCAAAACCAGACATGGAATGTGCCTAAATCAACATTTTTTCCATAAATATATACTTCGTCAACAACACTGTCTTGAGAAAACCAAAGCAAACAAACAAACAAACAAACAAAAAAAAAGCTCTTCCCTACTGTCGGGGAAAATAAAATCCTCATGAACTTTGCAATGAGAAAAACCCATAAGCAATTCTGTGATTCAAACGACACAAAAACCCCCACAAATTAATTGAAACTTTGACTAGGAATTGGACACTTAAATTAAGTAGGCCTACAATGTATAGCTTATTTTGCATCACTGCTGACGAAGCTGTACAAGTAATTTATAATTGTACTCCACTTTCGAGGAAATAGTTGGCATAAATATATACCGGTATACAGGAGGTACTGCTTAAAAATTTTTCTTCTTTAGTGGTTGAACATTACATCAGCAGAGTTTAGTTTTAGTAAGCGTACTCTACTTGCAGCACAATGAGGTCATATAAGTGCCAAAGATTAGAGGTGTTACAAGAGAGTGACAAACACAAGAATGTAGGAGGAGAGATTAAGGACGATAGATGTTTGATAGGAAAGAAGAAGCAAACCACACCAGGGCACCTGCCAACCACCCACATATTAGCAGAGGCCCCATTCTTGAAAACAAACCAACATCAACATTAAAGACTTTCACGAAAATACACAAATAATAATAATATATGGTTCCAGTAATATGGGAGAGTGTGTTTGTGGGTGTGTGTGAGTGTGTGGGTGTGTGTGAGTGTATGGGTGTGTGTGAGTGTGTGGGTGTGTGTGTGTGTGTGTGTGTGTGTTAGTATGAGAGTCTGTGTGCGTGTGTGTGTGTGTGTTTGTGTGTGTTTGTGTGTGCATGTGTGTGTGTGTTTGTATGTTTGTGGCAGTGACGATGGTAGGGCAAGAGCTCAGAAAGCATGCTAAAGCTCCAATCAAATGCTTGGTACAGTAGGTCTGTATGAACACATTAGTTTTAGTTTTAGTAGAGTTTTAGTAGAGTTTTTACGGCGTTCGCAACTGAATACGGTCATATGAGCGCCAAGGGGTGGATGTCAACAGAGAAGTCTTTACAGGGAATCAGGCTTACTCTGCTCACCTCTCTAGCTTCAACAGCACAAAGTCTGCTTCGACTATCAAGGCACCCCGGAAATAGAGGGTCACAAGAGTGTGACAAACATACAAAAGATGTAGAGGAAAAATGACGATAGTAAGGATTAGGAAAGAAAAAGCAGCAGTTCCCTGTAGCGGTTCAGGCGCAGTTATGAACGTTTTACTAAGAGTTTTACGGCACTTACAATACAATGAGGTCATATAAGTGCCGAAGATTAGAGGTGTTAAAAGAGAGTAACAAACATAAAAAAGAAGGAGGAGATATAAAGACGATAGATGTTTGATAGGAAAGAAGGAGAAAACCACACCAGAGCACCCACCAACCACCCCCCCTCTCTTCTGGGAAAGGCCTAAAGACACTTTGGGCAGAAACACATTAGTCAACAGAAACAGTCAAGAAGTTGGAGATACACAGCCCAAAAATATGATGCTGACCTGACATGATAGGTGGAAGATAGTCACTCACAGACAGGGTACAGCAGGGAAACCTGGGACATATTATGAGGTACGGAGGATATTCACAGACGTAGCAAACCTGCGACACAGACATGGCATGGAGGATATTCACAGATGGGGGAAACCTGCGACACAAACATGGCATGGAGGATATTCACAGATGGGGGAAACCTGTGACATAGACATATGGCATGGGGGATATTCACAAACGGGGAAAACCTGAAACACAGACATGGCATGGGGGATATTCACAGACGGGGGAAACCTGTGACATAGACATATATGGCATGGGGGATATTCACAGACAGGGGAAACCTGTGACACAGACAGTACACATACAAGGGAACCCTGGAACACAGATATGGCATGGGGATATTCACAGACAGGGGAAACCGGTGACAAAGACATATAGAGGATATTCAGACAGTACAGGGGAACCCTGGTACACAGATATAATGGCATGGGGGATATTCACAGACAGGGAAACCTGTGACACAAGACATATGGCACGGGGGATATTCACAATCACAGACAGGGCATAACAGGGGAAATGTTAATTTATACATAAATATAAGTGAGGTGCTATGGGAAAATCAGTCACATGTTGCAAAAATACCATTTTGTCATTGCAGGATTCTAAACGGCATACTCTATTTCTGTAAATTTTACATGAAAGTGAAAAAAACCTAAAAAGCAAGGCTATTGTATACATTTCAGTGGTTGAGAATCCAACGTTGTAGCAGCTATTTATTGGACAGCTTAAACTGGATGAAAGTTATATTACTTATATAGGATGTGCTGTGTGATGTCAGTCAGAATTCAGGGAGAAAAAAAATAAAACACATTTTCGGAGTTAGCTGCTTAGAATCTTGAAGCGACAATTTCTGACTATTTATATATATATATAAAGTATATAAAGTTCATAAAGAACATTATCCCCTCTGACTATTTTGAGATAATTGGCATTCATTAATTTGAAATACATTACTAATTAGAAGAAGAGATGGCACTGTAATTGTAAGTTAGTCAACCGCAACCCCCTGATAGTGACACCCTGTTCTGAGAAATCTGGGTCTTCTGAAAATGCTTTATTTTCTCCAACACAGTTGGTGGGGGGAAAAAAATCACATTAGTAAACAGATTTCTAATTTTTTCTCTCAAGTATTCATCTTCAGAACAGATAAGATGTTGAAGTTTTTCATAATACATACAGTAGAACTTAGTTTCCATATTTAAAAAAATTTAATTTCCCTTTTTTCCCTTTATTTCGCGATATCAGAGCTCCAGGACTTCTGACATTAGACTGATCTTCCCATGGCGCCTCACATGTAGGGGATATATAATCACAGTCAGGGCACAGCAGGGATATATAATCACAGACAGGGCACAGCAGGGGAAACCTGTGATTGTCAAAAAAGCACCCAGAAAAAAAACCCCCCACACACAGAATCAAGACAATCTCAACTATTGCAGTATGTTCAATCACAGTTTGCAATCATAGAAAAGACAAACGGAGGCTTTCCTTTCAAACAATAAAAAAAAAAAACACATTCAGAATATGTGTTGATGAAACTAGGCTAAATTCATTAAAATTTGATGCATTGACAGCATACACCCAAAAACAAAAATCCCCCCCCCCC